TGTGTTTAATGGCCCACCGCGGTGAGTCTAGATTGTTAGATACAATATCAAGTATCTCTTGAAGATACAATGATACAGCTCGCGAGCCGCTGACATTGTCGTTCCATGTTTTTAAAAATAGTTCCCTAACTTGTTCCTCTGTATCATGCATACCCACAAAGATGAAAGGGAGAAAAGCCGCCGAACACGCCGCGACACGGTCGTTCGCAAGTTTGGAGATGGAGTTTAAGATTTCACCGGAGATGACACGGTGAGACGTTTCTTCGGCCCCAAAGTAGAGCGATTTCGCAAACTCGATAGTTTTAAGCATCTGGTCATCCGTCGCCAATCGCATGAGATATCCTATTGTGGAACTGTATGAGGCGCTGATGGTATCATTCCGATCAAGGACATGTTTCCGCATAAGTTGGACGAAACGATCGGCGTGGGGGCGGAAGAGAAAGGTTTTGGAACTGAGAATAACAAGGACGCGGCTGACACCAACCTTCGAAGGTAGGCCAATTGCCGATCGTAAAACGTCTTCTAGCTTGTTCGCAACTTCTTTCATGCTTTCATCATCAAGAGACTCGAGAAGGTATAGCTCGATGGCTTCCATCATTGGAGACGTACGAATTGCTGACAATCTCATTTTATCAATATCCTGCCCGGTCAAGCCATACTTGTCGGCGTTGAGGTGGATATAATTGACAGCTTGAGGCTCAAGCGAGCTCAAAGAAGCAAGGAATCTCTCCAGTATCTGAGGTACAAACAGGCGGAGTGTTTTCCCAGGGCTTTTCTTGATGATCTTCGTTAAGGTTGTAATTGCATAACCTTGTACTTCTTCCGCTGCAGACTCCATACCCTCATGGCTGAGCAAAAAGGGAATGATATGATTTAACATGACCCTGGCCCTCTTCGAATCAGCATCTCCAGCCTCCAGGGATCGGACAACAATATTCGTTAGAACTTGACATAGTCTGAGTGCCGCCTGGCGGACAGTGGCCTTAATATCGTCTAGAAGCTTGAATGCTTTGGTTAGGATATCACCAAGATATTTATCGTACTTTTCAGTAGGCCGCCCTTGGATAAGGTCACCAATTGCCGCACAGCTCGCTTGGCGCACTCTCCACTCTTTTCCAGTCATGATACTTTTAAGCAGGTCATCCATAATAGCGTCAAAATTCGCCTCAATCACAGAGTTCGAATCTTTGACCAGGGCGTTCCAAATATCATTCATCGAGCGTTGCACATTAGGATTCGGATCAAATCTGTACCGATACAGCTTGGGGAACAGTTTAGGATTTTGTGCGAGGTATCCGTTGACGCTTGAGTCTGAGAGCACGTTGCTCAATCCGAACCTGCCAAACGCCGCACGGCTTGACCAAATTGCATTATTTGAAGCAAGTGACATGAAGCGATAAACAAGACTTGGGTCTCCGACTTCAGACGCCAGGCCAACAATATCTTTGTAAGTGGTGACGGATCCCTCGCCAGTGGGCAATGCGCCGGGCTCGAAAAGTTCCGTGTCTGTGGAAATTTTCCCACCTCCGAGATTCGAGCCTTCCATTGTAAAGGATCGCACGAGATCGCGTACCAAGTCATCTTTAAGGTCCTGACTACCCATCTCGTATACCAGACTCAAGCCTCTAGAGCCGGTTTCCTGCACAACTTCATCTCTGTCTGACAAGAGCCATACAAAGGTAGCTTGGCACTTCCTTAAACGATCTTGCACTTCCGAAAAGTGTCCACAGTATTGGATTAAGCAGAGAAGCCAGATGACAGATGCCTTTCTCAGCGACGGCTTCGAGGCCTTGCAATCGATGATGATCTTGTCAAGCATTCCCGAAAGGATATGTGAGGGTATGTCAGACTTTGGCCAAGGTGCGTCCACGTCAAAGACTGTAATTAATGACTTTGACGACCAACCAACTGCAACAGTACATAACGCTTCTCCAACAGAAAATTGCACCTCTGGCCGCTTAACTTCATGAAGCTCATAGAGAGACTTTAGTAAGTGTTTGAACGGGGATCCTTCGGTGTCGTCCTTAGGAAGTACCAGCGACAGACGTCCCAAAGTCAATATTGCTGTATCTTTTTCTTTCTTCGCTTCTTCCGATAGCTTACATATCACTTTTTTCACAGCCTCGTCGCAGTTATCTCCAGGGAAAGATGTGGGGGATAAAATGGATGCAAGACTCAGTTGTCCGATAGTCACATGGGAAGCCTCTCTGAGGGCTAGATCTCTAGAGTTGTTCAAGATATCAAACGTGGACTCCAAAAGCCTTCGGATTTGATTTTCAGAGATCAAATTTAGTCGCCCTCGAAAGGAAGCGCGGGTGGAAAGATGTGTTAACGCCAGTAGTGCACCTCTGCACTTATTGATACCTTGACCGACCGCAGTTTTCCAATTCTCAATTAAAACGATAAATGACTCAAACATCTGCAGCAGCCGAGAGGTAGGATAGTCCGTGTGAGAGGCCAAAATTCCGAACGCCTGTGTTGCTATATCCTGATTCGTGACGTTGTTTGAAAATATCGGATCCCTAAGCGATGAGGCGTGAATTGCAATAGAAGCCAGAAGGTCATTGGATGCGAGAGCGCAGATTTCGACAAAATGAACACCACAGCGGCCTAATCCCTGGCCCTGCTTCCAAAGGAGACCAGCTAGGGAAGCCTTCAGGAACCCAAGGGTCGGCACACGATCGCATTGTTCGAGATATGCTTTAAGGCTAGCCCTTGCATCTTCCTTCGTTGAGATTGCCGCGTCAAGGCGGTGTTCCCAATCCGGTTCGACACTCAAGGGGGAGCCAGAATATTGGAACGATTCACAGAGGAGAATATTGCGAATAAATGCAATAGTCGGTGCAAATGAATTAACATAGGCGCTAGAAAATCTGGTGGGAAGAGAAACGTTCCCGTCATCCATTTCGATATCATCGCTAGTCGGGTCGCCAAATAAAGAGCTTACTAATTCGGCAAACTTAGGAAACCGGTACCGAGGATGAACATCAGCGTCCATGGCAGTTGAAGTTATCCGGCTTCCATCTCTGGGAGGATTAAGCATCCGATACCAGTATGGGTCAAGGCCTTTCTGGCCTTCCTCTATGATTTCAGATCTCCCACCGGACTCCCCGCCAATAGCCATAAGATCTATCCAGCGCGCCTGCACCTCCCAGTACGGCAAGCACCGATTCGCAAACCGCACGGCAGCAAACCTCGTACTTCGGACGATGTGAAATCCTGTATCGCGGTCTTCCGTACCGGGCTTGGCGTGCATATGGTGAATTAAAAGCGGACGGATTTCATTTTGAAGATGTTCGTCTGCATTATTCGCGATAGCGTTGAGGATACTCCCCAGAGCTTGCTCGATACTTACGAATATCTGTGCACTTGAAGTGTCAGAACTCAGGGAAGTGAATAGCCACCTGAGTAGATCAAGATCGAATATCCGTTCATCGTCATCCTGTGAAGCTCGATCGATTTTCGGAGCTAGTACGCCAATAGTTTCATACGCAAGACTTCGAAGACTAAGTTCGGCAGGACTCAACTTCTGCGCGCTAGCGCCAGGGTCAGGCCAGCCTTGGTAGGAAATATATTCTCTCAAACCCTGGATGGCGCGAGGCGCGACGACATTTAAATCTGCAGAAGAGCCCATGCGCGCAATCCACGTCACAAAGACAAATATCTGGCTCCGAAGCTTAGATGCTTCAAGGCCCTTGGCAGTGCTTTCATTATTTGAGAACAGCCCTTCATCGAGAAGCTGATTAATCCTCTCAGGCTGGGTGGTAGCCTTGACTGATTTACTTAGAAATCCAAGGATTTTAGCTTGTAAAGCTGGTCGCGCTGGTAGGGCACCATCGGGGTCTTTCGTTCCAAAGTAGAGAGTAAACAATTCATCAACAACTTCCGCGTTTTCCAAGTCTGCACGGAAACGCTTTAGTATATCTTCCCCAACGTCCGAAAGGCGACTATTAGGATCAGCAGAAGCAATAACAGCGGCAAGGAAGCGTTCAGAATCTGTAAAAGCCCCACTGGCCAAAAACTTCGCTGCGGCAACCTTGGTTTCGATCAAGTTAAGGCCACCAGCTGCCGAAGGATTCCAAGTCTCGTCAGGTGATGCATCTCTGTTCACAAATCTATACTCTGAAGGGGTAAGACCGGGGCATCTCGTCGCATCTTTTCCAGCGGTAGTAAAAGAAAAACTTTTGCAAACCATTTTGCCAGGAAAGTGGCATCTTCATCTGATATACCTAGTTTCGCTCTTAGAGCCAAATCATCTTCACTGCCTCTCTGTGGCAACTTCAGCAACGGTAACAATCTCAACAATAAATTGAAAACGACAGAGCCATGCGATGAAGCAGAGATTGAACCTCCGATTCCTGCAATCCCCTGGATTAAAGCTGGTATGAGTTCGATACGCTCACTGGCGGGAATTCGATCAAGGCCCTGCTTGATATATATAAGGTCAAAATGTCTGACCAGCGGCGCTTTAACTTCTTTAAACTGTTTCAGCAGTGCTGCGACAGGGAGGGTGATTGACACTGGTCGTATTCGAGTGTTGATATGCTGGCAGACAGCAATGACTTTGTTGCGCACTGCAAGGCTTTCGGAAGCTAGCTTTAGGAGTAGTGGGGCAAGGTATGTCTGGAGAAGAGATTGCAGCTTGGAATCACTGTCTGCTAGGGCAATTCTAAGCTCGACTTTTGATATAAGACTTAGTTCTCGGGCTTCGTCTGGGTTAGACATGACGAAATTCGCTTGAGTATCAATAGACGAGTGGATAGGTAGAGAGTGGCGTGATATTATTTTATCATGAATGAGGACGTAAAAACGAGAGTTCGAACACAACCTAAGTAATAAAGGGAAAAATCGCGATTTAAACTAATAAGTCTGGTCGTAGGCAGTGGTGGTGGCGTGTACATGTATGTATGTACAGACAGACGTTGGCCCAGATGAGATGTTCCTTGTCTGTGATGGATTGTTAGTGCACGAGGAACATGATTGGTCAGCAGGAACAGGCGCCAAGACCTTATGCGCAAATAGGACTAGTGTCAGATTAGGGCTGAATAAGACCAGTCTATATAAGTACGCAGTTAATCGAACAAGAAACGATGATGGTAAATGCAATACACATTGTCGCGAATGCAAATATCTATAAGGGTCGTCAAAGGAGTAGAAATATATAAATGTATGACATAAGGTGGGCTAGATGCAAAAGCTAAAAGAAAAAAGAAAAAACTAAAAAAAAATTTTGCACTATATTCTGGGCCACGGATTGCGAGTTCTCTGGTATCGTTATAGAACTGGAACTCGACAAATAAACATTGAGACTTCATATTTACAACACAGCACTGGCATCGCCGCTCGCCAGAACTTCTCCATTACCACCATCCCCAGCATCCGCAATCCTCTCCTCCGCCGCTTCAGCCCTCAAAAGCCGATCAACATCATTCCGCATAGCCTCCACATTCCCTCCATCCACCATCGATTTCGCCCTCCTACTCGTCTTAGCAAAGAGACACTGCCACAAATCACCCTCAGGAACTCGCTCCCCTTCAGCCGCCGTGCCCGCCATCAGATTCCCCAGCTTCGCATCCTGCAGTTCCAGAGAGTTCGCAGCCTCAATGACTGTCTCTATACACGCACCTCCATCTCCATTTTCTTCGCCTCCCGAAACGCTCATCTCCAAATCCTCCCCCCGGAATTTCTCCCCATCCTGCTTGCGCTTTTGGGCAATATGAGCCAGGCGCCGTGACACGGAAATATCATAGATACATTCCTCGACAGAATCAGACACGAGATACATCCAAACTGTCGTTTCGCGATGTTGCCCGATACGATGAACACGCGCGATGGCCTGCAGCTCAATCGCAGTATTGATTAAGGGCTCACAGAGGAAAACATGAGTGGCGTCAATAAGGTTTAGCCCGGAGGCATGAGCCTTCGCGTGGAGGAGAAAGCACTCGATCTGCCGCATAAAGGAGTTAGAACAGAGCATCAAATCATTAGATATAAAATAAAACGAAGATTCCTCTTACTGAAGGGTCACTTTTAAACCTCTCAACCCCATCATGGCTGTCAATACTACTAAATCCAATTTTGAAATGCGAAAAGGCGCGCGCGAGAATCCCCAGGAAAGGCTTATACTGCGAGAAGACAATGGATTTCGCACCAGGATCATGTTGCCGTAACCAAATCAGATGTCGACCTAGGGTATCAATTTTGGTTCCAAATGAGCCTTCAACGTCAATATTTCTGATCTCCTTCAACACCCCTGAACTAATATCCGAATATATCGAATTCTTGAGAGAATGGTCAGACCCGATGTGTGCAGCAGCCGCCCTTTCTTCCTGCGCAACTATTTCCGTAGGCTTGTATGTAATTTGATGGAAATCGTTGGATTTCAGGCGTATTTTGCACATAGGACAAGTTCGATGTTGGCGCCACCAGAACCGGAGGCAGTCCTTGCAGTATTTGTGACCACATACGGTCAATACACCTGGGTATTGAAAAATAAATTAGCCAAGGTACACACAACACACAACATGCGGATAACGTAGATGGGTGTGGGGAAGATTTCACCGATTTCAAACGTCGACTGGCAGATGACACATATTCTTGCTGACTCTTCAGCCCCAGACTCGTCTCGAAGGTGTATAAGATACCGATATTTAGACCTGAGTGCTGATATTCTCTCCTCAATTTTGTGTTCCGCCATGAGACTGCGGTCAAAAAGTGCAATATCAAGCGGCTTCCCTCTGCTCTCTTCATCGTAAGGCGCGACAGTATCTGAGATTTGCTGCAGTTGCCTATAATATTCCAAACGCCGATTCATCACGTTGTGGAAAAGCTGCACCTCCTTCTCCAAATCCGACAAAACCTTTGATTGCTCCGACGAAATTTGGCTCGAATCTTGTAGGATTCGATTTACTATGCCAAGTTCAGCTCGTGCTCGGGTACTACCCCGAGCTTCCTGCCATTCGAGGGACACTGCAAGGCTCCGCAATTCGGTAAGGATACCGCGAAGCGACCCAAGCTCATCGGAGGGCTTCAGGCATTCGCGTGTTTTCATGAATGAGATGTAAAGTTTAGGCGATGGGCCCTTTCCATCATTTGCCCGTGCTAACCCTTTCTTGACGTCGTATTCGATCAAAGTGTTTTTTTGACCCGTGATAGCGTCATGATAGTCAGCGAATAGGGCGCGCAACCCTTCCATGTAAACGTACATCTCATCCTGATGTTGAGTTGAAGATTCGTACTCGTCACCCTCCAACTTGGCATTATTGTCTTCCTCATCCACCAGTTGCTCCAAAAGTAGCTTAAGAGAATGTGTGCGCCACTCAATGAACTGCTGTGTAAGTTTATTTATAGCCTCGCAAAGGTCTTCAAGTTTATCTAGAAGTCGCCCACTCTCCATGCCACTAATATCCAGCCTTGGTGACATCTTGGGGATTTTTACAAGACCTTTGCTACTGACGTTCGCCTGTATCTGTCGGATAGATCGACTGACCCTTTGATCTGTCTCCGCCAGCATCTCCTTTCGAATAAGCTTTGCTGCCTCGTAGTTCTCCACCTCGAGCTTTTCAAGAGCGAAGAACTCTTCCGAGTCAGGAGTTGTGAGCTCTGTATTAGTTTTGATCTGGTAATACGCATTTGCAATGAAAAATTTGCAAATATGCTGAATTTCCAAGGCGCTCCGGAGACGGCCACGATACGTCGTCAATCTGGTATTTTTTTCCCCTTTCCCTTCCTCAACATCATCCTCGTCATCTGATGAATTTTGCACAACTTCCGACACTGCGCTTTGCTCTTTCTTACGTTCAATTTCGAGCTGAACTCGAGAATCCCTAACGTTAGCCTCTGCTAGCGCCAAAGCCGCTTGCCATAACTCCAAAGCCTCCTTTGGTTGGCCAGCATTCTCCAGCAGCTGGCCGCGGCGAATTTGAGACAGGAGGAGTGAGCGTTCTTCTGCACGGATTCGAAGTTCATTCTGGTCAATCATTACCTCCAGAACCTCAGTGACCGAGCGAAGTGGACCACTGCTCGTTCCAAAAGCCTTGCGGCCGGCACCACCAACTTCTGGATGGAGACAAGCCTGGCGAAGCCTTGTTAGCCAGCGCCTCATCGTTTCAATGGTAGATTTCGAATTGGGGTCCCAATCTCCCGTGCGCGGAGCTCCTAACGCGTCGACTCCGCACTCTTCGCACATTTGCTCAAAAAGCTGATCGTAATGTTGTTCTTCCACTGCTGTGAATGGAATAGTTATAACGATACGTTTCTGCCGAGGCAAGTTCAATTCATCGCGTATCATATCCTTATTATGGCGCAGGACAATGCGGCCAATAATTTCTTTAAAAAGGGGTTTATGGATCTCGTACAGCCGAACCCAGGCATCCAACCAATCACATAATGGGTGAATGCGTAAAAATGAGAGTAGACCAAGCAAATCGTTCATATCTTTTCGAAGTGGTGTGCCTGTCACTGCCCAAGCGTTGTGCCGCGGAATAAGCCTAGCCACCCTTGCAGCATGGCTTACCCCCGTTTCAATCATTTGAGCTTCGTCAATACAAACTCTCCACCAAGAAATTTTAACCAGAGGAGATTTTCTTGGAATCACTTTTTTCTCACTGCGTAGTGAACGATCGGGCGGATCCTCGGCGTAATGTATTTCTCTCTGTAGGACATTGTAGGTCGTGAGAACCACGTCACAGGAGGCTAGTTTTTCCACTAATTGCTCATAGCTCTTTTTTGTGCGGTTAATACCTTCATAATATGTACATCGAAGATGTGGAGCGTGGGATGAGATTTCCTGTTTCCATTGGTCAAGGATAGTACTTGGAGTGATTATCAAGGTTGCACCTGATTCTGTAAGAACGGGCCATTGTCGTAGAATTGGTAGCCCTGCCTCAGGAGCAGGCCTTCGGTGCAGGGAGATCAGTGTGATCATTTCCACAGTCTTGCCAAGTCCCATTTCTTCTGCAAGAATACCGCCTTTCAGCGTCTTAGTGCTACTCAACCCTTTAAGGTCGGAGGTCAAAACCCAAAAAAGATGGCTCATATAACAGATGTGTCCATCCGCATCTTTAATCTGAGAAAAGGAGTCGGGGAGATTAGAGCCCGGGGGAAGCGGCCGTTCTCGGGTTCTGCCGTCCGGAAGAAGCTCTACACCCTCTCTCTGGAGTAGCCACTGAACTGCTCTCCGCTGGAAAGGGAAAAGTTGACATTCAATGAAGTCTGCTAGGGCGCTTGGCGGCAAATCCAGATTTTTGGGAGGAACGTGAACACTGTCATAAAATTCGCTAGGAGTCCAGGTACTTTCTTTTATACGCCGCTGCCGCCAATCGTTCCGACGGAAGGGTTGTGAAGGATGCTCCTGCAGCGCTCCCGGTAAATATGTTGAGAATGCTGCATTCTGCCACACGCCTCTTTTGCCTAACTTTAAGGTGTCTTTCCAGAAAACCTTTGTCTCCAGGATAAATGAACGCTGGTCGTCTTCAACCCTCCGCAGCGTAGACATTGAGAGCGCAGTCGGGGATGAGCGCGTCCGATAGATTGAAGGGAGATTCATTGGGATAAGAAGGTCATGATTCCCTGTGTGAAAATCAAGGATTTCTTGAAGTATGACATCCGAGCTACTGGTTTCAAGCTCGATCTTATATTGTTTCACATGTGGCTGAGTGGATGCCATACGATACCATTTCGAGATTAGAACTTTGATCTGAGTGCCATCTTCATAATCCGAAGAGATGGCATGGATATCAAGTGCCGGCGAGGAGAATGTCTGGGCCAGAAAATAGAATAGGCGACAAAGGAGTCAGACTCTGCAGTCCCTTTCCTCGAGGGTATTATTACTTGATGATGAAACACTTACAATCTTCAACTCTATATGCGCCAGAGTCAAATACTCTGGAAACATAGACGCCGCAATGTCTTGAGCGGCAGTGTTTTGAGAATCCCATATCCCCGTATTCAACTTCCGTCGTTTCCCTGGAGTACCTTGGGTTGAGCCTGACTCCTTCAGCTTCGAGAAACACGCCTGAAGAGTGTTGGGCACAGGGCCTACAACAGGGGGTCGCACCGTTAGCTCCCGTCAAGAAGCCATATATTAGTGATTAAAACGTACCTGACGCGAAGGCCACATCTTTAAGAATAGACATGTAGAAATAGTCCCCTCAGGGCCTCCCTTCTTGCTGTCTTCCCAATTGTAGATGAACTGGCGGCGAGAAGACAGGCAGCAGTTCGCAGAAGTTATCTTATCGCAATGTCACGTGGCGATGAGCAGAACGATTTCTAGCTCGAATCCTGAGGATCAGTTCCTTGTATTAGCAATATTCATGACACAGCTAGATTCTTCCTTACATAGGAATTGTTCATAAATATGTAACTTTACTTTACATGATGTGGCTCGAATGATTTCTAAACAGAAACAACAGCGTGGTACGATTTTGTCTTGGAATGAGCGAGGTCTGCCAAACTATGCCAAATTGATGGACTGGCAACCGAGCCATGATCGAGAGAGTAATAAATTGGATTTGGTACACATATTATATTTCTCTAATATTTTGTTTAGTAACTTAACTAACTTATTTCTAACGAATACGTACACGTACAAACCGTGGTGCAAAAGGTTCGGTCCGTGAAATGTACTGTATAACTAGAGGTTATGCGTAGATGCAACTTGCTCACATTCCCAACAAACCTATATCCTAATATCCGTAAGAGCGCTGCCCTGAGAATTAATAAACTCTTGTGTTTCCCACTACATTCTAGAATAATAAAGAGTTTATGTTCCATTCCTTTCTAATCCAGAATCCTAAGTTAGACCCGCACGGTTGTTACATGTACATACATACACGTCGTTCTCGAAACGATTATCCGTCCGGCTATTTGGATGCGGCAACTTCGGCAATGGTGTAGGACTGCCGATTGTTTATTTTCATGTTTTAAAATAATAAATAATTTGTAACCATACCAGCAGACGAAACTGATTTCATAGATTTTATCGTCTTTGTACGGCAAGATCGTCGTTACTATTACTATTATTATTATTATTATTATTATTATTATTATTATTATTATTATCGTGGCAACTAACCACGACTGGTTGTGCTTTAGCTGGTGCTGTGCTCTTCGGCAAACTGACTGCAATGTTCGCTGGGAATTTCCACGTCCAAATCAAATATATGTAACAATCCATAATGGTCAAGGATTCACATTGAAATTATCTTGTTGAAAGCTAAGATCCGCTGAGGTTCAATGACATGGTTTGACCAGGTTGGTTAGTTCCCGATATCCCGGATCTGGTAACTAATTAGCCGATGAAATATCTCCAGAGCGGCATCGTTCAACTAATGTTAAACCACTTTATGCCCCAGAGGCCATAACTCCCCATACCCAACATCTGACTGAACGGCGCTACTGGAGACCATGAATCAAATGAAAACGCTAAGCCTAAGGTTTCGATTCCATTTAACGAGGCCATTTCATTATTCTGGTTCTCCGCGAACTTCATCAACCTTCGCGCGCCCTCGTCTCGCTGGAGAAGAGCCGGACTTCTACGGAGAGGGTGGTTTCCACCGTGTTGCGCTTGGTGACACTTTTGATGCTGGCAGATACCATATCCTGAGGAAGCTCGGCTATGGACAGTATTCCACCGTCTGGCTTGCCAGAGATTCTAAGTAAGCAGTGCACTTTTGTACAGTACATGTACTTTTTGCGTGGCGCGACGAAAGCTCATATATCCCGCAGGCATCAGAGATATGTAGCGCTTAAAATACTCAGAGCGGACTGTTACGGTGGTCCTGAGCGAGGGATCCTCTCCAAGATCACAGATATCTCTGCGAGAAGCAAACATGAAGGCCGACATCACATATTACCCTTTCTGCATCAATTCAAACATATCGGCCCAAATGGGGTACATGTTTGCTTCGTCCTTGAAGTTCTAGGACACCATTTGTATTTTCAATGCTCAAAATATAAAGACGGACGACTCCCAGTTCGAGCTATAAAAAGAATTGCCCGTCAACTTCTCCTTGGGCTTGACTTTCTGCATACAGAGTGCGGTGTTATCCATACCGGTATGGCACAATATATATCACCTTAGGCTGTCTTGCATACCAGCAAAGACTAATATCGCTCGACCTTGTGAATAGATATGCACCCGAAGAATATACTTTTAGAACTGGAAGATCCACACACAGCCATTTCACGACATCTATCGGAGGTCCCTCCACGGACAGATACCCAGTCTGGTGAGGTATTACCACTTCGGGAAGTTATGAAAATTCCTCCGATTTCTGAAATCAAGGAACCTTACATTAGGATAATTGACTTCGGCGTAGGTAAGGAAATTTGATGCATTTTCCTTCCGCCTTCGTTGATCTTTCGTTGTACAAATGCGTGCGATTAGGCTGACTTTTTATATAGCTACCTACAGACACAAACATCACTCACAAAAAATTCAACCGCCAGCTTTAAGAGCACCTGAGGTGACAATAGGTGCTCCCTGGGACACAGGAGTAGACATATGGAGTCTTGGATGTCTTGTTAGTAAATATCTCTTTTATATATAAACCGTTATGCGAATTTAACATGACAGTCGGCGCGCTTGCAAATAGGTCGTAGAGTTTATGCAGGGAATAGTTCTCTTCTCTGGACAAGAATCAAAGCATGGAGATTGGACAGCCGATGATGACCGGCTGGCAAAGACCATTGAGGTCCTTGGTCCATTCCCACTCGAGCTTCTCAAGAAAGGAAATAATTCAGGAGAATTCTTTCATGAAAATGGTGCGGATACATACGTAGTTCTAAGTGTACTATGATGCCAAATGTATGTGCTGATGTGGCAGTTGCTATAGGAGATCTTCGAAGAATTGCAAATTTGGTCCCTACGACGCTTGAAAGTATTATCAATGGTTCGGCCTCGCCCTTCTTGAAACCAAACGACATGCCCGATGCGCAGGTGCCAGTCTTTATCGATTTTCTTAAGGGGATGTTAACAATTAATCCCGATCACCGACGGGCAGCAGCTGATTTATTGCAGCATGAATGGTTGAACCTGTGATCCTCCTACAGGAATGAGAACATGTCGCCTTCACGGGGATTCTCCTCTCGTTTCTCAGATTACCGCACGGTGGAATTATAATTGACAATGTTATATGGGGGATATCCAGCAGGAATTTCGAAAGAGAGCTGGCAGAAACTATAAAACTATGTAAAGTACATTTCATAACTATGCCTAATTGACACGATATTAATCACACTGCTAACTAGCGGCATTAGTTATACAACACGTCCCACACGTCGCATCTCCCATCCACATTTTTGGAATCTATAGTTGCAAACACCTTTCTCCCTTCATCGCCTATTCCAGCTCTGGCACCACCGCCGATCACCCCGAGTCGTGGAGCTTTCTTCCATCCCGGGCCCTTGTTTGGATGCTTAGCAAAATTCGCCCATGCTTTCTGCATCACCTTACCAACCTTTACCTGGAACTTTGTAGCCCCCTTTCGCGGATATGTTCCAAAAATGTACTTAATCTCTAATCCGTGGTACGCTCCGCTTCCATCAAATAGTTCCGTGTTCGGGAAACTCGCGTTGAAATAATACCGCCACACATCAATACCGACCGTTGCGCTATCCTGTGTGACTAGCCTTGCTAGACACTGGAAAGAAAATTCAGTAAGGATGGCTGCGAGACGTTCGGGTTCGTTGCCGATTCCTGGAGCACCGATAGGGTATGTGTCTAGTATCCTTTGAATGATTTCGCCCGGAACATCCGGCAAAGACGCACGGAGGAATGCTTCAGTGTCATTCATGCCAACCGTGATTGGACGATTTTCGTCAGCGTTACTTCCCATTAACACTGGTACGCGCGCAATAAGTGATTTCTCATCAGTCGAATCGAGACGATCTTGGCGTGGTGTATCTGCCCAGGTGACGCCGCCGTCTGCCATCGGACCGAATGCTAGCTGTTGTCGTTCGATGATTGCTTTCAGCTCCAGTGCAGGAATAGCACGAACGCATTCGAGGCCATTTGTGGAAGGGCAGTTAGTCGCCTCCAAAAGCTTGCCCCATGAAGCAACGGGATCAGCAGCGAGCATTCTTACTGTGGACTGGCCAGATTGCATAATGGCGGCGCGGAAGGGAATAGGGTTCGGCGGAGCGGTGATAAGGCCATCGACACTTCCTCCGCCTGCACTTTCTCCGAAAATCGTTATTTTCTCTGCATCACCGCCGAAAGCTGCGATATTACGTCGAACCCAATCCAAAGCGAGCCGTTGGTCCAGCAATCTGCCCGAATTATATAGTTAGACCTCGACCCTATCTTTTAAGTTCTTAACGAAGACGAAACTTACCCCAGGTTCTTCTCCGCCGCTGGTAGCTCAGGCGACCCGGGGAACCCAAACAGGTTTGTCCGGTAGTTGAAAGTCACCAAGACAACATTTTGATTAACAGCAAAGCTGGAGCCATCATAAAGAGGTAGAGAACCGGAACCAAAAACGTAAGAACCTCCATATATCCAGACGAGGACAGCCCTAGGGCCCTTGGGTGGAGACGCCGGGGCGAAGACATTCAGATTTAGACAGTCCTCGCTCTCTCCGGCTGGAGGCGGAGGCGTGTTGTACCATTCGATTGACTGATTGCGTTGTTCTTCCGGGTAATTAAACTGCTGGATGCAAGAGGGCTTGTATCTGGAGGCGTCATAAACTCTCTGCCATGGCCGGACTGGTTCGGGGGCCTTAAAACGAACAGGAGGTTCAGCGAAGGGAATACCAAGGAATTTATTGACGGGGCGAGTAGAGGACGGAAGCCAGGTGGCAGTCCCCGCAACGGTCCCTGAGTCTATAGTCGCCGTAGGTCGACATTTTGGTTTGCGACATGGAGTTGAGTTGGCAGTGGCGGCACAGAGAGCTATGGTCAACGTTAGGACGGAAAAATACATGGCGGGCGTTTTGGATTTGGTGAACATAGGTATAAACTGGACATTTGAGAGGGAGGCCCGCCTTTCTCAACATATGTATCGCGGGCTCTTTATATATAGGTGAACGAAACCATCCCGAGTCTGCAACGTGTTTGTTAGCTTTTGCCCTAAAACACTTAGAACATCTCCCAGTCTCTCTCTCTCTCTCTCTCTCAATTTTTTTTTTTTCCGGTGCGTTTTTTTCAGCCCATGGTCTATACGCGTATCCGGACCACAGGAGGCGGACCTATGAGATATTCGGCGCTTGCTGGGGGCGCATGCGGATCCTTCCCCCTTCAATGATTCAGCTGTGCGATGTTTCAAGCAGAATGCGAAATTCCCGCTGATAGCTTAGCAACCTCAACTCAACTTACCATATGAAATCTTGTATTCTAAGGTCTAGTGGATATATTTCAATACCATGATCCTTTTCCCTCCCTGTCGTAAATAGTGGGCAAAGATGAAGCTTGCGACCAACAACGAAGAAACCACTTCGTCGCTGAACCTTTTCTGGCTCCAGGTGACGTGACAGCTCAGGATAGTTCTGGGGCTGTTGTATTGCATCGCTAGCCCATGTTCCAAGGGCCATTTTCTCCACAGCGCCATGAGATGCGCTGGGCATTTAGGATCGCAAGACACAGCCGATTGTGCAAGTCTCAATCTACCAGCCGGAAATGGATACGCCCCAAAAGCCTTCTGATAGCATTGCAACCTAAAGACAGCAAATCATCCTCTTGGGACTTTTGTGAACACTTAGGGAGCTCTAGCGACATCAAAGTGGTGAATGCTACATGCTCGCGCGGTTGTCGCCATAAGGCTAGCACATCCCAGAGATAATAAAAATGTGGAGCATGGCTTTAGTGACAGAGGGCACATAGTCATGGTTGGAATTCCAGAAGATATTCTTCCATGTGTTTCCTCATTCCTAGGTTTCGAATGCTATTTCATTACTACCTAGGGATGTGCTGCACCGCATCGATATCTACACACGATGTCATCCGGATGCTGCATGCTGTAGAGCAAATTAGCATTGATGGTAGCCAGGACCATGGGCAGGACTTTTGTGCCTGACGAGGTATAGCCCCTAACAACAGGAAATAGACGATATCAGCACTATAATAGTTACCAGTTAATTTACCGAACTGGTAGATATAGCCCATTAGTCACTAGCCCGGTAGCGGCTTCTGTATTCCTCCAACTTATCCATATCGTCCTTGTTCCCTTGGGATCCCACTAATGTAATAAGGTCTTGCAGCGTGACAATACTCGCAGTCGGGACACCAAATTCTTGTCTAATCTGACCCATAGCGCTCATCCTAGGCTCGTAATCGTCTTCAGCGTCTTTGGGCCCGGGCATTTTCTCCTGTCGATCGAGCGCAACTACGAAACCCACTACTTTCCCTCCTTCCTTATCTACTAGCTTTAACGTCTCGCGCATCGCAGTACCGGCAGTGATCACATCGTCTATGACAAGGATGTTTTTCCCCTTTAACGGGGACCCCACGATGTTTCCACCTTCGCCATGGTCCTTTGCTTCTTTCCGATTGTAGCTATATGAGACAGATGACCAGGTTTCGGGGTCCATGCGGTGGAGTTCAAGCAGCGTTGCGCACGCGAGGGGGATTCCTTTGTAAGCCGGACTTGAGAATTCTCCAATTAGTAAACTCCATGATTTCTGCGATCAGGATCGGAATCATGCGCAAGTCTTACCCGAAGATTACATCAGGTTTTGGAATAGATGGGTTGGAGGCGAGGTAGGAAATGATGGTGTTGGCGTAGGCAGTCGAGATGGCGGAAAGGAGCGACGAGGTATGGAACAGGCCCGCATTGAAGAAGTAAGGCGATTCTACGTGTCATATATCAGCAAATTGGGAGTTCAGGTGTATCAACCGTGTTGCGCGATTGCGCGCAAAGAAGATACAGACTTCGTCCAGATTTCAGTGTGAAAACCCCGAATTTCAGAACATTGGCGGACAGACAGGACTCTAGGAAAGCCGTTTTATAGGCGGGAAGAGGTGAGCTTGTGGGCTGCGCTGAAGACATTGTCGCTATTCTACTTGGGATCCTCTGGTTAACAAAGATCAAGGAGAGAAGGGTCCTTGATGTTTTAAGATTGACACGAGGGCGGCTGCGAAGATGAGGAAATATTTATCAGATTGCTAGTTATCGGTGACATAAGCAGATCTGATAACATAACTGACTCTAATTCATCCAAGCCCGATTTCAAACCAGAACAATCATCTTCAAAAACATTCCCGCATACGCGTATAGGTTATTGACAGCTCCGATACCCTTGGAACGAACAGGCTAAAGGAAGGGAGGTGGATTGATATTGTTGGAGAGCCAGAATTACGCCTTGACCAAGCGCGTGAGGAATTGGAAAGAGAGCGTCCGGAACCAAATTTAGTTTCACGATGTGTCAGAGTGCTCATTGACTAGTTATAGATCCCAAGAGCATGATATCCTAGGGATAGGCAGGCATCCTAGGTTGACTGGATTTGTGGTTTTCAGTCTGGCTTGAGTGAGCATAGGCACTCTCGACTCGCATGTTAAGAAATGCTGAATGCGTAGTAATATCCGTCGCGTATTGGAGCGTCAAATTGTTCGTCAATCACACGCTTAAAATTTACTAAAGAATGCCTAAAGATGAAGGGTTGAGAGAAAAACCTCTAGTAAGCGTTCAGTTCTATGAATACCTCAAAAAATTATTGCTAAGTTCATCGATAAAGCAATAGCTTCCGCAACCGGTAGTTAACCCTATACCTTTCCCAAAAGTTTTTCTGTCCGCAATGGTGCCTGGGCTTAACTAAATCGACCGCCCTAGGCAGTCACTTATGGTTAAAGCTTTTAGCTAAGAACTTGGGACCACCGCATACAACCTGAAATTCAATGATCTGCTAAATTTTTCGCGCCGGACCCCCCCTCGCTAGCTGCATCCGAGTCGAGTTCGAATACCAATCTGTCAGTTCCTGATTGGCCAATTGTCAGAATCTGTAACGGCGCAGGGGTGGGAAATGCGTTGTCCAGTCAAGTCAGGCAGCCAAATGAGGAAAAGAAATATAGGACAAAATTTCTCACCTCGTGCTGGCAGCGGGTGAGGCTGTCAGTTCGTCCTCTGTGGAAGCCCTCTCCTTCCTCATACTCACGATACCAGCGTTCTCATTGTATTTTCGTGATCTAGGTCAAAATGTCGAGTCTGAAATTTGCAAGGGGATTGATGCGATGTAGGTATTTCCTGTCCAGGCACTTGCGCATTTCCGAGTCTAACTTGAATGTTTGTTAACTATCTAACACCAGTTCTCCCTCTCATTGGGTATCACCATGTTTTGATGTTTCTTTTACTTATTCCTATTCTATTTCTATGTACGACGTCCCGCCGCATCTCATATTTCCTTGTCTTCTTCTTCTTTCTCCTTTTTTTTTTTTTTTTTTTTTTTTTTTTTTTTTTTTTTTCCCTCCCTCTGCATATTTTAAATCCTATATATATATATGTGTGTGTGTAGAGAAAGAGAGATATTGAATCATTTTTCCCAGCGGTTCTCGTTGCCGGCTGCTCGAACTCTACTCTCGCAAACGTTTATTTGATATCGCTATCATACGCGGCGAATATCACCTCTTCGCCTCTACAAAATGACCATCCAATGAAGCTTAATCCAGATATGCCAGGGGTATTCGCAAATTTGACCACTGGAGTGCGAAACAATGCAACTTCTTTTGAAATAAGGACAGGATATCTAGGCCATTGCATGAAACAAAACTCAGGCCTCTGGATCTGTGCTCGAGACATAGAACCTCTTGCAAATGTCATCAGGGACCAAAAAGCATCGAACATTGACCCGTTGAATCTGGTTTACATGTCCAAGACGTTCAAAGATCAGGTGATATTCAGTGGATTAATGTACGAGTCACTTCATCCCTTTTGATTACTACTGTCTTTAGAGTGACAAGCACTGATTTTTCAATATAGCTTTGCATCCATTCCATGTCTATTCATCTGTTTTCTGCTTCTCTCCAGTTTCCCAAACTGGCACGCGGATGTCAATTCAGAGGAGAGCGATGTTGAGATTAAGCCATTTCCCTCAAGGGTGGTGTCTCGTGTTGCGACTGGATTTGTGGCACTCGCTTCGCTGTTAACCTTTGTATCCGTATTTTGGCAACATATATCGAGTTCGGCGAGCGTTACGATGCATGAGGAGCTCTATTATGGGGTCGTCAATTCGAGCACCGGAGTTGTTGCTATGGTATTTGGATGGGGAGGGGTTCTTACTTCGTTTCTTGTTGTGATTGGGTTGATTCTCATGATTTTGAGTATATCGATTTTACAAAAACTTAGCGATGACTGATTTGATTTTATCGCTCATTTATGCTGCTTCTTTTCGCTCCTACAAACTTGGAATTATACAGGCCTTTTAGGAAAGTGTGTTGGAGCTAAGGGAGGCCATCTACTTTGGGAAATGTTAGGCCATGTTGAGTCTATAAGAATGTGATCGGAAGTTACGCATGGAATTCTTCTGCTCTATTCACTTTGATCTGGATTGTTCTAGCACTAATATTAAGAATAATCGGAATTGGAATCGCTCACGAATGATGTGATGGAGAATAAGGTTCGGTATATCCAGCGAACTGCAAGACCCAGTATAGTCAATATAACAAGAAATGTCGTCACAGCTGCCTTCATTCCTGACGCTAGATTTCTGGTCCAAATGACTGAAAGCAGTATTACCAGTAGCACAGCGATAGAAACTCCTGCCGCCGTTGGTCGGCCATGGTTCTTCAAAAATTTTGCAATCCGATCCTGGTTTAATGCGATCAGAATAAAAGGAATGGATATTGCCCCGGAGATGCTAACTGTTAGGTATGTTAGATACGTAAAGATTGAGAGGCAGTAAAGGAATTCAGGATATGTTGCGTACACATGTATCTCAAAACGTAATCCATCGGGAGCTTGTCTCCGTTATTCCAAGGAAAAGCATCGATATTAATGGCGAAAAATGCAGCCATAAACGACAGCGGAAGCTAAACTCATCTCGATTAATTTTCTGAATGCATTCAAGGGCGGGAAAGGAAGGAGTTCTCACAAATATAATAGTGACCACGGTGAAAACTAGCACCGTTCTACCTTGTCGTATGGATTCATCTGCCTGCTTGCGGGAGAGGTCAGCATTCTCCAAGCCCCGTTCGGTAAGTTCTTTAGTTGCTTCTGCTTGCATCGACGCATTCTCGGCCTGTTTACGGGCGGACAATGCTTCAGAGACATTGTTTTGTTTCTGCTTCAGATCGAGAAGGTTATAGAGCTGCACAATCATTAACACCCGAAATCTCTTGGTTAAAATCTTATGCACTCACGGCTTTGTAAGTCTGATTCGCGAGCCTTTGCATTTTTTCAACCCGATATATATGGTTCTCAAGTACTGGAAATCGTACTGGTGAGGAATTTTCGTCGTTTACACTCCCATTCTTAATTCTCTTGCGCTCCGCCAGAAATTTGGAAAACTCTTCCAAAGGCATCGTTTGATCACTCAAAATCATGTGCAAAATTCCAAGTTCGTCGATAATATCTTTGATCTCGACTAGCAGCTGTGTTTCAGCGCTAATGCTGAAGACCTCTGAGCTGGCTACCGCACCCTTGCTTGATTGATCAAGTCTACATGCGAATTCCTCAAAACATTGCGTTTCTTGGTCAATCTGTTGATTTCCATCAGTCTGGTTTTGTACTTTCTCAGAAGGGATGAGGCACTCACCACAGCACCAAGAGATCGTTCGAAGAAGTCAAAAAATTGATACTCATCCGGGACGCTGTATTGATCAAATAATCCTATACAAAAGCTGGCAATGAGCTGCGCCAGATCCTGAGCTGACGTGAGAGGATCCCGCGTCTTCAATCCAATGTGGCTAAGTATCATTTGATGAACGTTCAAGGGGTCACGTTTGAGTAATGCTAAACGCCTTTTCTCAATGGAGGCCTGGCCACTGCTACTACTACGCTCATCCGTATATCGATAATGCCGTTCCTGGAGAACTACGGACGTCCTCCATCGTTGTGTTTTAGCATAAACGTCCCTTCTGTTAAACCCCGATTTCGGTTTTTTCCCTGTTACCCAACCAAGCATAAACCCTGATTCACTCATACTTTTATCCCTCATCTTGCCGTGACTAGCGTAGTCGTGTCCATGTCCACGCCCATGAAATTCCGAACGATTAGTTCTAGTTTCTGTATCCGGAAACTGCGGAAGGTCGATAATTATGGGATTAGGTGGGGAGGCTGTTTCGAAATCAGCTTCGGCTGCGGGCGGAGGTTGGCCAGACCAGACATCCCACCGCCGGGGAAAGCAGCTAATAATGGTATCTAAAGTTATGTTAGCCCTCTGAGCAATATATAAATGAAGGTGAAGGTGATAATTACCATCGTTCAGTATCCAAAGCCACAACTGATCTACCATAAAGATCTTAGGCTCTGCGGAATTATCCCGTATGTATCGATAGACCACCTGGCCATCGTCTCTTGCGGTAGTATTGGTGAGATGGGTATAAAAATATTGATCGAGAGTTCTTCTTAGATGAAGGGGTGAGTCTGCGGGGTTCAATGGCGACAAGTACCCTTTCACGAGATGTTCGTCGAAAGGTATCCTAGGCTTTGTGCGTCCGGCACTATTTTTCTCAGTGGTTGCATCCGTTTGTTGACCGACATTTTCGGGAATATTAGGAAAAGTTCCGCGACGTTTGATATCGGGACCAGTCTTGGGTCGGACATCATTTTCTTCTGTTTTATGACCATCAGTACCGGGACGAGTGCTACTACGTTTTGCAGCAGAATCCTCCCCAGCGGGGCCATCCAAAGTCGCATGCGCTCCTCCTGACTGGTCAACAGGAGTCGACACATCCGGAGATTCGCCAACAGGGGAATTCACAGTTTTAGCTACACGAGTTTGTGTATGCGTTCTTGATATACTGATGCTTGGAGATGGTGGATTTTCCGTGGTCAAAAGGCCTGCAGTATTCCCCTCTGCGATATCAACGTTTAGTTGTGTCGGATCTTCCGCACGGGGTGAATTTTGCGTGTCACCGATTGTTTGATTGGTTGGCGGTATTTGTAAAATGCTTGTCTGATCCTCTTCTATTTTATCCGCGGATATCGAACCCCTGGGTTGTTTACTTCCGCCCAGCACACCACTCCCATCGGAATTGAAATTTCGAGTCACATCTTTCTTTCCAGTACTTGTGGGCACTGTGTCAGCTGCGTCATTTTCGGCGGCTCGACCGTCGTCCTGGACACTAGGTGTACTTTTGCCTTTTTCTACGTCGTCCTGTTGACCCGATGATTTTCGGAATGTCTTAACAACGTGATCTGACGTTTGGCGCACTTTACTACCGAGAGTACGGATAGCTGACATTAAATCTCTGGCCCCATGAAAAATGTTCAGAGATTGAGATGGCTCCTCGGTATCTTCTGTACTGGCGCGATATGAGCTCCTAACAGCTGTTCGTACTACTGGTGGCGGGCGTGACACTCTTGATTGTGTTTTTTTTCTAGCTGGACGCAATGGCGGTGCTTTTGAGGGCGGGCGTTGCTCGCTTCGCATAGCTTTTTCCTTCTCATCTTTCTCATGCTTTAAAAACTCAACCATTCGCTTATAGCCAGCATGTGTTTCAAAGTGGAGAAACGGAATCTGCAAGGCAATTAGTGCATGGGGTGAGAAATCCTAGCAAGTCTTCTGGCTTACGAATAGCATGAGTTGATCTGTTGTGTCGTTTCCTAGGTGCAAGCCAGGGGACTATCATTCACATGTTAGCGACAGGGATAAAGATTTGGAGGTAGAAATGTTATACATTGATGGTTCGGCACAAGGGCCTCATATACGAGGAAAGAGAAGCGGAAGCTCGAAATTGTTGACCAACACCATTAGTTAAGGCAAGTTTTGACTTTGACTCTTCGCTCAGTATTACCGCGCCAGAGTCCCGTTCGCCAAAATGACGGCTAACCAGAATCTGCTCCTTATCAGTTTTGGTGCTTCAATTTCAGACAAAGATGGACACCCGTACCTCAACCCATTCCATCTACAAAATAGTTAGCATGTAATATACTACGCTTGTTCAAGATAGAGCGCTTACATTGTTTGCGGGTAAGTGATACCACCGAAAACTCGGCTGTTTGTCGATCTTTTTTCCTTTTGCAAAATTCATAATTGCCGCTGGCCCTTTCCCGTAGAGTATATCATAAACCGACACTGTTTTCTCGATTCTCTGCTCGGTTCCCTCAACAAAAAAGTCAATGATGGTACCTTCAAATCCCTGGCAGGCTTTCAATTTGTCGGTTTCGTCAGCGGGAAGAACTGGAACCGTATAATGAATCTCCGGTTTAGCCTTGCGTCTTTCGACGGATGGACCTTGCAATACCCTATCCGATCGAAGCAATTCACGCATGAGATCACTGGTTGCTAAATTGTCCACCGTTTTACCATTGTCATCGCGTAAATATTTATTGGCGCCATTCTCCAGCAGGAATTCAGTAATGTCCACGTTGTCGTGTATAACGGCACTGAATAATGGAGTGTGCCCATCTGGAGTTAACGCGTCGATATCCGCCTCATTTTCTAGAAGGGCCTCAGCAACATCGGCGTGTCCGTTTAATAGGGCCTGGTGAAATGCCGTATATCCAGTTTCGTCATTGTGCGATTCGACATCGGCATTAAAGCGCAATAAAAGATTCACAAACGTTATATTTCCTAGCTCCGCCGCGATGTATAATGGCTTGCTGCCGCTGTGACTGGCAGCTTCGGTGTTAGAACCAGCCTTGAGCAGAAGCTCTGCCAGTGACACACGATCGTTTATCACCGCCAGGTGAAGGGCTGTTTGTCCGTCGCGGTCTACAGCTCTCAAATTAACGCCTTTGTCAAGGAGGAGCCGCAACTCGTCTCCATTCCCTTCGCCCACTACCTCAAGAACTCGCAGACTCTCAGAATCGAACTCATTTTCGAGATCATCTTCACTGTGAGGTTCGTCAGTCGGTCCCAGGTCAACACTTTCCTGATAACTATCAAAACGATCGGGTTCGCTCTCCATATTGGAAGTTAATTCTTCCAGTTAATTTCGTTATCCCTGGACGAGGGAGTATTCTTAGAGTTCCCTTTCGGTTCTCGAGCGGAGCTTCGTTTTTTTGCATCGAGCAACATGAGCTAGAGGGAATCAGGCTAAACAGCCCACCAGCGTGCGAACCAACCTCTGCAGCTTGCTGCAAGTAGCCGAGACTGCACATCATAATTGGTCATACTTGGGTTCTCAATTTTGGGGGTCGGAAAATTCTATCTCTCGCCGGTGCAGCTGGCGGGCAGCGCGCCATACTGTTGCTGCTTCAGCGGAGATGCCAACGTTCCCCAAGAGTCATTCTACCCTGTGTGAGCTTGAGCTCCAACGGCACTCCCGGCCCTAACTCGCTTTTGAAGTTAGAGACTCTTGGAAAGCAACCACCAATCAGCCTTCGCACCATTCCAATCCGCGTTAGGCGGTATTGAGCTTTAGAGCTAAGGTAGTTATTTTCGGTTTGTGTTGTGTTGGCTTTCTCCAATTAGTCCCATTCGACAAATTGTCCGCCCTTCGACATTTCTCCTTCCTCAGGCAAATGATACCCCGCATCCCACTGCTCTCCAGGGTGGGAGAAGGGGAAAATATTTGTGCAGTGATCAAAATGGGCATTCATTTTAAGTCATGACATTTTTTGAGTGAGTCTTTTTTGAATAAGAAAGTACCCCAAGAGGCAGACAGGCGGCCGTGCGTGTACTCTCTACTACTCTTTACGGGCAATTAACAAGAGACCCCCCTTTCTGAGCTTGCGAAATCTGAGCCTTAGAAGCTTCAAATGGCCCCTGATCTGAAAAAGACTATCAAAATCGCCGCTGTCCAGGCGGCACCGGTATTTCTTAACCGTGCTGGAACCACTGAGAAAGTGTGTCGCCTCATCCGCGAAGCTGGCGAGAAGGGGGCAGATGTTATTGGATTTCCTGAAGGCTTCATCCCCTGCTTCCCATCATGGGTTGAGATTCTTCCCCTGGTCTCTGAGCCAGCCCTCTCTTTGTACCGCGAATTCTTCCACGAAGCCGTCGAGGTTCCCGGGCCAGAAGTAAGCGCAATCCAAGAAGCATGTCGAGATGCCAATATATATGCCGTCGTGGGCATCAACGAGAGACGTGCAGGCAGCACTGGTACACTCTTCAACACGCAATTGATGTTCGGGCGCGATGGCGAGCTGCTGCACAAACATCAAAAATACGTGCCAACCATCGGAGAGCGGCTGATCCACGCTCCTGGAGCTACCGGAAGTAAAGCTTCCGTACAGACCGATTTTGGCTGTCTGAGCACTCTCATTTGCGGTGAGAACGGGAATCCCCTGGCGATCTACTCCCTCTCCCTCGACTATCCGATCGTGCATGTGGCCTCATGGCCAGCCCACTTCGGCCCAAGCATTGCCCCGGATGATATGCAGAGGAACATCTTGACGTATAGTGGAGGACTGGCAGCCTCACTCTCTTGTTTCGTCATCAACTCCGTCGCAGTAGTTTCCAACGAGGCCATTGACGCGTATGGCGGCGACGAGGCAGGGCGTAAATTCCTGCACAAACATCAGGAGAAGACTGACCGCGCCACAATCCTTGGACCCAACGGCTCCATAGTTGCAGGGCCATTTGAAGAGGCCCAAGAAGGAATTCTCTACGCAGATGTCAGTGCAAATGATTTGGTGATTCCGAAATACGTTACAGACTATGCTGGACACTATAATCGCCCGGAGCTCTTTGCCCACCATTTCGCGAAGTATTTTGAGAACGGACAAGGCAATGAGGCAACTCAGTCTTGACTTTTATGTTTTCTGTATATTTCAGCGTTATATTCGCATGATCTTGCGCTCTAGATCTTATGGTATAATAGACATACATAGTTCAAGGGGGTTTCCATTCGTGGAGCTGCTGGACATAATATGGATTTAACCATATGTAAATGTGTATTGATTAGGAAGGCATTCTCTTAATATATGGAACAAAAGGGACTTCCATATTGTAGTTATATGATTATATCATTGGAAAGTGTTTGGTACTTACTGCTCAGGATAAAAAAGCATTCATAGGCACAAACCTAGAGGCTGTTATTTAAACAACCAGAGGCCCAGACAAACGTTTTGCCCCACCAAAGCAGACCCCGCAGTAACTAGTTGTTAGTTACTTGTTCACCGACAACAGTACAGTACAGCGAACACACTCAACATCCAGCACAACCCTCTTGACTCTGCCATCACTACGGCTTTTTTCCCCCAATAGTCTGTCTACCTTTAAACCTCGTACCAGGCGGCCATTCGAATCACATATTTCAGCGCGAAAATAGCAAAAGGAGGAGAATATAAGCACAATGACCGAAGCAGCAGCCGTCTACCCTCCCCTTGAGGCCAGGCCGCTCAAGAACACCATTTGCCTCTTCGATGTTGATAAGACATTGACTCCAGCGAGAGGGGTGAGTACGATTGCTTTTATATGTTTTCCCTCAATTCTGTTCCTCATGTTACGTTCCCATGTCCTGGGAAAGTTTGGTGACATTCCAGGCACTGACAACATTTTGCGCTCCGCTCGCTCTTATCCAGACCGTTTCACCTGAAATGCTGCAGTTGCTCTCGCAATTAAGACATAAATGCGCCATTGGATTTGTAAGTTACGCCCTTCTCCGGCACATACAACTATACCAGAGACATAAAAACCCGGAAATCATTTGCTTTCCCATGTACTCGAACCCTACTTCCTAACCACTTGGTACAACTCCCTAGGTGGGCGGATCCAACCTACCCAAGCAACAAGAACAACTAGGCAGTGCCACAGTCGATGTTACCTCCCTCTTCGACTTCTGCTTTGCAGAAAATGGGCTCACGGCCTATCGCCTAGGCAAACCCTTGGACTCCAACAGCTTCATCAAGTGGCTGGGCGAGGAAAAGTATCAGAACCTCGTAGACTATTGCCTGCGATACATCGCCAGCGTGAAGCTCCCGAGGAAGCGGGGAACGTTTGTGGAATACAGAAATGGAATGGTCAATATTAGTCCTGTGGGAAGAAGTGCGAGCGCGGAGGAAAGAGATGAATTCGAGGAGTACGTGTTTCCCTTCTTGGTTGCCAGTCAGCAGGGGGGGAGGACGAACTCAAGTCTCCCAGTCCAACATCTCCCCGTGGAGAAATACTTTTTGCTTGTTATTTTCATGCTAATCTACCTGAACAGATATGACAAAGTACACAACATCCGGAAAACCCTCGTGGAGGGTCTGAGAAAGGAATTTGCCGATTACGGCCTTACGTAGGTTCTCTCCGCTCCCAACCCACTAATCTCGCTCCATCTACCCTCCACCCGTCACCTCCAACCCAACCCTCTAATTTCATTCTTTTAACATCTACCACCATTTAGCTTCTCCATTGGCGGCCAAATATCCTTTGATGTCTTCCCCACCGGCTGGGATAAGACATACTGTCTACAACACGTTGAGGCGGAGAAAAATATAAGCGGCGTCGAGTACACCACCATCCACTTCTTCGGCGATAAGTGCTTCGAGGGAGGAAATGATTATGAAATTTACGTAGACCCTCGGACCATTGGGCATGAAGTCACGGGCCCGGATGACACAATGAAGCAGCTGAGAGAGCTCTTCAACCTATAAGGGGAATCAAGGACTCGTGGGTTGGAAGTGTTTGTTGGGTAAGTATTGAAGGGGGTAACTATATATGCAAGATATCAACATAGAGACACAGATTCCCTGCAGCAAGCTACATGTGCATTATGACGATTCAGCGAGAACGTTAGACCGATTTCCTTCATATCTCATGGCACTTCCAGGTCTTATGTGATTGGGAGCAAGCTTTTGGAGCATTTTCGATATGGGGACACTTAACGCTCCTCATTTCAATATTCCCAAGTACACGAGAAATAGCCATGTGTAGAGGGGGACATATCCATCGTGTTGTTTATACGTAGCGTAGTAATATTTATCATAAACAAAGCTGTATTCAAAATACGGAAATATTACTCGGCACTGAGATAGTAAGATAGTAATAAACACCTTTTATTTTAATTGTAGCAAAAGAGTTGCACTATAAAAACCAGAACTTCTTCATTGCGTTTGAAGTGATTCTCGGGATTGACATCACATCGGCAGCACAGTTGATCGTGGGTTCAAGTTTGGACTTTGGGTTCATTTAACTCCCATCTATAAAGCTGTAACTACACGTTAATAACCCGATCTTACCACGCCCAACACTCGGTTTGGCATGGACAGGATGAGAGTTAGCGGTCACCTTAGGATTAGGGTTAGTCAAGGGGCAAGCGTTTATAACTTTGGAATTGACATAAAAGTGCGAAAATGCATTATCGAGTAAAGTCTTAACTACGGAGTAGGTTGAACGGAAGTGGCTTAAGTTAACTATCATGTGCCCATTCTGGCTGGTGCCGATGGTTTTTCCGGCCGAGAATTCAACACACGTATCGGCGCTGCTCGGCGGAAACATCGCATGTCATCATCATCATCATCATCATCATCCTCCCCTCCCCCACTCAGAAGAGATTCACAATTCAGGCTGCTTACACGCTTTGGGTTTCCTTCACCATGAACACGGCTGCAAGCCGAAGCCATAACTGATATACTCTTTTCAACCTCTTCTGTCCGTAGGCCATGGCAAACTCAAAGCAGGTCATCAAACTCCCTCGATTCCTCCTCCAACCCCTAGCATGGAATTCATCCTCCTCCACCATCATAAATCCACAATTAGTGACAATTGGATCGTCTCCGGGCTTATCTTTACACCTTTATGCCGCGAAACCACAGCCACAATCAGTTCCCAGCCGATCGCTACACACCTTGCCAGCACCTCCGCGACAACCCCCGTCCCTATCACTCACCTCTCGCCCCTATCTTACGTCCATAACCAAAACACCCCCGTCCTCGACAAACTCCCACAATGATACCCACGCCGCTCCAATAAGACATAATGGCGTGTACGTGGCGGTATTCAAACCTGCCCGCCGCGCATTCCGTACCACGCCGGCCAACCGACGGGACCACCACTTCGACACTTTAAAGATTGTCCAACGACTCAAAGGTGAAGGATTCAGCGAAGAGCAGGCGGTGGCATTAATGCGGGTGCTGAACGATGTAATTGAAGAGTCAATTCAAAATTTGACCCGAACTATGGTTCTAAGAGAGGGTGCGGCTCCGACTCACTCCCTAAACCCCCATCTACCTTGTCATTTTCGTACTGGTTTGCCCGGATGCTCTCTCCCAGGACCTTTAATTCTAACTCCAATGCGCATCGTAATACAGACTCCGAACGGTCCACTTATACCCAAAAAGTCGACTTCGCCAAACTCCGGTCAGAACTCCTAAACTCCGACTCCACCGAAACACAGCTAACCCGCGCATCCCACGACCGCATTGCGGGTGATATCCAGAAGCTAAACTCGCGCCTCCGCGATGAAATAGGCCGCACACAGGCGTCCGTAAGACTAGATTTGAACCTGGAAAAGGGCCGGATCCGTGAAGAGGCCAATGGGCAGGAGATGAGAATCAAGGAGACGGAAACGAGAATCGAGCAGGAAGTTGCTGGCCTTCGGGAGAGGGTGGAGGCGGTTAAGTTTTCGACCCTTCAATGGCTGATGTATGACTCCTTCGCGCATCTGTTATTACATATCTTATTTAAACCATCGCGATTTTTGCTGACTGGGAATTATTCTTTTGTTCCTACAGGGGTGTCTGTACAGGTACGGCTGCACTGATTCTTGGTGCTTGGCGCCTGTTGATGTGAAGTAACCCTGGAGGCATTTCGGGTCGAATACTCGACACTACCATAATGTTATTCCCTTTCGTGAAAGGGTATCGGGGAATTTCTAAAGCCCGGGTTGCTTGAGCGAAATTCAGCATTGATATTATTTCTCACTGAGCTCATAGAACATCTCCTATTACACCAAAGCATAGATCAAAACACACTCTTGACAACCGATATTTCCTTTGTTCATTCGAAAAATGTATATACTATGACTCCTCCAAAAAAAATAAAAATAAAAATAAAAATAAAATAAAAAATAAAATAAAAATAAAAATAAAAAAATAAAAAAATAAAAAAATAAAAAAATAAAAAAATAAACTACAATTCAACGACTGATCAAATGATAATAAAACCATTCTTGCTGTACCAAGTGTCCTCTATATCTACTTTTAGATAAATGGGAGATAATCTAATTTCTATCATATGACGCATACCTAAGAAATCACAGCTCATGCCTCATTCCCGTCTAATCATCCCAAGACCCAACTAATCTCCCGTCCTTCTTATTCAAAAGCGGCGCCCCCGAGTGGCCCCAATACGTCCACGCATCAAGCTTCAACGTACCGATTTCCGAGTTATCGCACGGATCTTCGCCGGGGATCATGCCCCTACTGCGTAAAGGCGCCGTGAGATATCTCTACAAGGCCGTAATCGGTTTTCCGGTCTGCTGTTGTACCCCAGATCCTCGCTGCCCGGTTGGCCGATGCAAATAATCGGCGTATTCAATGAGGCCTACAGATGAAAACGAACAGCCGTGATTACGATTATCATTCCGCTTATATGGTCATCATTAGTTAATAATTGCACTAAGCGCCATCTGATTCAACAGCGATGATCTTTAAAAGCACCAGGTCGCGCTTCATGTCCCAAACACGACATTCGGCCTGCACGGCTCGTTCCGTCATAGAAGAGCAGCCAGCGCGTTTTAGGCGAGGTGCGATATTCCTCCTCCGTGTCGCCGAAGCAATGAGCGCAGGTTATCACCCAGCCAGCCGGATGTAAATATGCAGACTGCAGTTCCGGCCTCGTGCTGGGCGAAGATTAGGCTAGCTTCAAGGGCGTTTCGGAGGCCGTGGGCCTTATACTAAGGCGTGGTTTGATTGGGATGTCCTAGGAGAGGCGGAGTTGCTTTTTACGGAGGAGAGTGAGTTCTGCTGGTGAGAGGTTGGAGAGGTTTGAACCCCGGGGGATGATAGTTATTGCATATTTTCTATTATTATTAACTTAAGTGCTGGTGCAGGTGCGGGTGCTTGTGCTGGTCGGGCTGGGGAAGCCTTGCGAGAGGATGACCGTGTATTACAGAGAGTTTTCTAACATAAATATGCATTTATTTATCCATTGTCATGACTCTAGTGGTTTGAAATACTGCCAACATTCATTCAATATTAAATGGTTTTGTTTTGCCAGCAACTCTCCTGAGGGCGGAAAATCGGTAGGTAGTAGAAATATCACATGATCTGTTGTTCAGCAATAAATAACTTATGAGGATAATTATTATATAAAAGAGAATATAATCTGATAAAAGAGGTATATAAAAGCAGTTGATACTATGTGATCTGTTTATAATGAGTGTCGTTGTCAAATCACATAATAGTGAGTGAAAGTGATCAACCAGCCTGCACAGAGGCACTTCAACATAAATTTTTTTTCTTATTCTGAGCTGGAATTTCTTATTTGTGTATTAAAAATTATCAAATGTATATTAGCTGAGAAGTTTATAAGAGAATTTCTGAGAACTAAAGTTCTCAGATAGATGTCATAAGTCTTTGAGTGCATACATCTATAATAGAGAAGAAGAATAATAATAATAATCCTTCTTATCTGGATAGAAAAGAATAAACAAACTTTTTTACCTCACTCTTGTGACATGAGCTGTTCAATGTCAAAGGCGTAGAGAAGTTGATTATCTTCTGATATGAATGCCATGCCACTAAATAAGTTATATCTTTGAATTGCTGTTGTGAAGCCTATTTATTTAGCTCATTTTACAAGGACAAGCTAAATAAATCCTCTCTTGCAACTCTCATTTTTAAACATCGCCCAATTTTGAGGCTGACACTCCAGCTCCATGATATAAACAAAGCAAGATTCAGCCCATTGCAATATATCCTATTGCTTCGTGATGGATGAGAATTCACTCCTTACCCCAGATGAGATGCAGGCCCTAAGTCGGGGGAGTAGTAGACTCAGGCCTACAACTTTCATTCTATGCATCTTTACAGTTCTTCTTGCAACTCTGTACGGATGCGCAGCTTCTCCTGGTTCAGTATTACCAGGCCAAAAGGTTCTTCAGTCAGATAGCACGCAGCTCCGAGTATTCCAGGTATACAAGGCGGTTGCCAGTGAACCGCCGCACCAAGTTCCAGGAGGCGGATGCAACACGGAACTTCTATTGATGAGACATGAGTTTGGTTTTAGCTATGGCCATCCGTTTGTGGGTAAGTTCGGATTTTTTTTTTGGGATTAATCAATTGTTACTTATATCGCATTACTGAACATCGATTCACATATATATATATATAAAAAAAAAGGAAACTATGTCCCTCCTCAATGTGATTTCGACACTGTAATCATGACCATGACTGTTACATCAAAGGGCCGCCAGTTCGACAGACTCGCGCTTATGTTTCTCGGAGATATCGAAGTATTCCGAACATCGACTGCAGAGCCCACACCTAATGGTATTATTTGGACCTATGTCAAAGACATGTCACTCTACAAAGCGCTCTGGACGGAGCCTCAAAAGCTAATTTTTGATCTTGGGAACCTAATCGACGACACATACACCGGCCTATTCGATGTGACGTTAACAGCAGTGTTTTCTTTGCGGCTTCATGATATTCGAACGGCAGATATTATTCTCCCTATCTCCGCACGGCGGTCAGCAGAGGATTCTCCAAGTGCCTTCAATATTCCGGAAGATAACGCAACTGTGACACATGTCGTACCCAACGATGCTTCACGGGCGGTCGTGTCCATATCTGCCTGTGGTCAGTCTACGGAGGAATTTTGGTATAGCAATGTTCTATCATCAGACATATATACGTTTAACGAAACAACAGGACCACTCTACGGTCACTCCCCTTTTCGGGAGGTACAGCTTTTCATAGATGGCCAAATGGCTGGAGTTGTATGGCCCTTTCCAATCATTTTCACTGGGGGGATTGCTCCTGGTTTTTGGAGACCAATAGTTGGGATTGATGCTTTTGATCTCCGCGAGGCAGAAATAGATATTACCCCATTCTTGCCGCTGTTGACTGATGGCCAAGCTCATTCCTTTGGGATAAACGTTGTTGGTCTTGGAGATATTAAAGATGGAGTTGCAGAGAACTCAGAAACGGTGGGATCTTACTGGGCCGTAACAGGGAAGATTTTCATTTATCTTGGTGGGGAGGTGACGGTTAATGATTCCGCAATAAAGGGGGGCAGCGATTCCGGGCCGGTTACTTTGACGAAGTTTGCGTCGAATATTACACATGAATGGCAGCAGAATCCAGCCACGGGCATGAATGAATCTCTGTCGTATACGGTTCAAATTTATAGGTCACTAAGCGTCACATCTCCCTCTTCGCGTTGGACTCAAAGCCTCACTTTTTCCAACTCCGCGTCCCTTTCCGATCAAGGTCGGGCGCAATTGACTAAACAGGTGACAAATGCTGCGTCAGAGTCTCTTGATTTTATGAGTGAAAAGGATATCATTGTTAGCAAAACAGCCAGTTCCTATCCACTCGAGGTCCACTCAGTGTATCGTTCCGGCGTTAGCGGTCTAGAAATCAACGCCTCGATGTCTCGCGGTTTGCAGTTCTACTACCAAAGTGATTTCAGTTATTATTCCCCTTATACCCTCACAACGGGGCCATCCCAATTCGATGCGACGCAGTTTGGCAAAGCCACGTATCAGTCCATGTCCGGCAGTTCACGGTCCACAGGCGATACCACAGAGGTGTTCAAAGAGAGTTCAGCGGGGGTCACTTACGACGTAAGAGTCAGGGCGGTTAATGGAACTGTTCTCCAAGGATATGACCAGTCTCCAGGATTGCACCAGTCACCAGATCAAGATGGACCCCTGGGCAGAGAGAGTATCAAAGCAATGTTAGGCAGAGGCCCAGGGAGGAAGAGGCCCTGAGCATTCCTCTAAGGACTGGGAGGAGCCGCTGGTTATTATTGGTTTTGTTGGTTGTTCAGACATGACCTGACTGCCTGAAAATCAAGATATTATTCATCCATAGCTCAAATTCATTCCTCTCATGCTTTTCTAGGCCGAGGTCTGGCTTGAAAAATGTCCGCCAAGCATGATTCCGGATACTATTGGTTACGCCCGGTCGTAAGTAACTAAAGTTCGATGCTATCTCGCGATCTGGAATAGCATCGACCACCACGAAAATGACCCAAAGTGCGGCGAAGAGCAAATAACGGACATGACCCAAGCTCCCCAGTATGACTCTTACTCGCAATGATGGGGGTACGTGGATATATTAATTACAACGGAAACAAGATAGTTAGTTAAGTATTGAAATCTCGAGTGCTGCGATGGGTTTTTGAAAACGTGGCGAGGGGTAACACGAGTTCGATGGGGAGGACTCCGAGTAAAAAGATACAAAATCTATTTTAAAAGTCTCAGCCAATGACAAACAGACTATATCTACAGATTAGAAGGGGAAGAAACATTTCAATATTTGGCTCTGGAGTCTGGACTACGGAGTAACTTACTCAAAAGCCAGGGGCAAAATATCCCCAGCCTAGGCTGCTGAAGTGTGGAGTCCCAGCTTCCGGCGCTCTCCAGCGTCTCCCATGTGCGTTTTTGACGCCAAACATCGAGCAGCGCAGTCCTTTTTGCCCGTCTCACCCATCCCCCCCGGTCATGGGGGTTCGGTAACTACATATTTGCGACTGCTGACGTTGCAGTCTGGCTGATGAATCCAATCGGTCATGCCCCGAATGTTGTTGCCTCTCCTCTCGGCATGTCGCTAAGTCAGACTCGGGCATCCCACCCGCCAGATGCAGATGAGATGGCGGTGGCCCACTCGGTGTTCAGAACCAGGGCTGTGGATAGGCCCAGAGCTTGGGAGTAAAGACGCCATCGCGAATTCTGGGGTCAAAAATGGGCTAGAAACACCCCGCCTGTTATTAGCGTGGCATCTGTAGGTGGGTGGGTGAGCTCCCTGCTCTGCTGCTCCGAGAACGAGGATAGAAAACGTCCCCGGATTCCCCTCTCAACCCCGTCCTTCATATTCCACCCTTCCTGTACTC